TCATCCCCGTCGCCACTGATAAGTCGTATAGATTGAACGCTATATACGATTCCTAAGCTATTTCGGTAACCCGCAGTCTAGAACTACACAGCGACTTGAACACCAGAGAGAAGACAAAAGTATAAGAGAAAATACTTTATCCCAAGGTTCATTTTTGTACAGAAAATCATGGGTATTTATAGATTTTGGCATCTGTTAAATCAACATCATTTTACAGCCAATCCGATAACAACACATTACGCTACCGACCAATAGTAGCACGCCAAGTTGGAATTCTAGAACGTTCCATCACACTCTGATTGGCTAGGACTCTTCGGCTCCATTGTGGGCCTCTGGAGGCTCCGTTGAAGTTCTCCGGAAGCCGACCCAACACGTGTGTATTTCGAGATGCACTTACATTTTCTTCTTTCTTTTCAAGGACGGCTGGAAAACAACAATGAAGTTTACGAGGAGCCAAAATTTTCATTATAATTTTTCTTTTTTTACTATACTGTACTTCATGGTTCTATATAGTAAAGAAAGACGACCAGACGAGGCTAAACCTAGCAAGCTATCAGAAGAGTGTTTACCAACGACAAACTCGTTGACGTTAGACTTCTGGCTGGCCGCGTCTTCTAGAAATTGTAGACAACACTGCAATTTTCCCAACTCAAAATCGACTGACTCGAAAAACAACCCGGGAAACTTCCAAGCCGGCACCTAACATAACCCGTACTCTCCAAGAGAAATCAAGAGACAGAATCGAGGAGATCAGAAGTTGTATTTGACGATTGCCAATATATCGGAATTGTCTGATCTAGTCCGTCTAGCGATTGCAGTAAATGTTGAGCACGGCATTCCCGCACGTGATCTGGTGTGGATGCATGACCGAGCGCCTTCAGCTAGTTGAGTCCACTAAAACTAATCTGGTCAGCATCAAATGTCGAAAACTTACAGAGCTATTTATTTTGAGGATTTATTTACCGCTGCAGCATGATATAGGTTGCTTTAACAAAATAGCTAACCCAGCATAAGATCGGAAGTATGAGTCTGAGTAATGAGCGTAGGAGAACGAACTCAGTACCACTAATTGATAGCCTCGTCCTCAATCATAATGGGCCTGATGCAAACAAAACATTCTGCCCCACACACATGAGTGGATTGTTTGCTGGTCAGTAAATCCACCATTCCTCTTTTTGTGATGTTAGGCCCATTTAGGCTGTCTGGGATAAATATTATACCACACACGATGCTCTGTGTATCACTTACTGTTGGGAATCACTATTTCTATAAGTACCATTTTACAAGCTTATCAGGCAGTTACAAATCATAGACTGTGTGTAAGACATGGATAGAATGCCTTAAATAACTATAGTATAAAGTGTGGGTTGCCAATCAAAGTATGGGCATTAGGAAGTGTATAATGCAATACATATGTTTGAGTAAAATCGAAATTATCCTTGACCTTAAAAGTTTGATTACTTAGATATGAAGTGAACCATTCAATTAACTGTGGCTTGACACTTCACCATTTGAGCTGATTTATAATACGTATATGATTGATCCTACCAAAGGTTTTTGAGTAGTCATTGTATATGACGTCAACCTTCTCCTTACGATCAAGGATAAGTGTCCATCTGTCTACGGCGGTCAAAGAGTTGTTCATATAAGAGTGACGATTCCCCAAACGAAACCGTTTGAGTGAAAAATAGCTTATGGATATTAAGTAGTCGTGTAAACCGTCGCATATCATGGACTTCATATTTTTCGAGGGTATAGAGAGAAGGCTTGAAAAATCGCTGTGCCAATCGTTTTTTGAAAGTTGGTGTAATGTACGCTAGCTTGAACGTTTTCATGATCATGCCTCGGTTTGGCGAATGTGAGAACATCACAGTAAGTGGTTGCTAAGATTGAAGCCGCTTCCTTTAGTAAAGCAGAATGAAGCACTTCTGATAGTCTTATTCGTTTTGAATAAAGTTACGAGGAATGAAGCCTGGGAATTTCCGCGATTCAGATGCTTTAGCAGACATGTGTTCAGAGGAGTTAAGAAAGTAATGCACCCTATCGCTCGTTGATGATTTGAGTTTGGGTAGTACATTGCTGTTGAGTGTTAGTCTTATTTTAACAGACGTCTCCAATACGTAGCCAGCAGCATTTCTTTGAGTGACGTTCTAAGCTACGACGTTTACTTCAGTTACCTGTTCTGTCGAGTTCAGGCTATACTGTTTGCATAGTACTACGTACATCGCAGGTGCTAGTTTTATAAATGACTTTTAAGTCATCAGCTCAAAGGTAGATCTTATATGTGTTGAAACACAAGCATATATTGTTGATTTGGAGTGTGAAAAGCAATAGACACAAGAGACTATCCAGCGCGACACCATTGATTATTTGGTCAAGATGTAGATGTTTTAGATTTAATTTTAGTTCTTTGACATCTATTTGTGAGTAAAGACTTATTTCACTACAATAGGAGGTTAGTGATTGCAACTGACTGAATTTTGATGATTAGGAGTTTATGAGGTGCCTTATCAAAAGCTTCCTTGATATCGAAATATAGGTTCTTTTGGTCTTGTATGCGAGTGACTTCGTTAAAGAAGACTATCATGAATGTACTCCAGGACCATGTTCCAATGAAGCCATGATGAGACGGGTCGAATAGACATTCCCTAAGTAGGTGATCAGATAATTGATCTTGTATCACCTTTTCATTATGCGTGGTCTTGATTTGCACTTCGGGACAATATACGTTACCTCCTAGGTTTTGGGTTATGTCGTTAGGGATAATATGAATATGTCGAATATTGGTATTCTAATGTCCGGTCCTGTTATTTTCTAAGGAATCGATGGGATGCCATCTGCACTAGGACATATATTCGGCTTGAGTGTTTTGATTGTGGCGTATGTATCACTAAAATCAGCGTCAATGGTAATAAGATTATTTTTGCTAATGTGCTTTACGTTAATGTATGAGGCATTAGATTTATTTCCATTGTGCAAAAATATTTACATAGCAGTTTTTATATGACAGTTTGGCAGTATTACGTCACACCACCATACTGCCTGGAATGAATTTTGTGATCCACACTCTTTCTTATGCGCTTTCCAAAGAGAAAATATAGGTTTTGAGATTTCGATGCTGTAGTGAGCGCAGTACTTCCCTCTGTTTGCTAAGGTTTCCTATGCTGACTTTACACTCCATCAAGTTTAGGGTATATCTATCGCAATACACTGAAGCTTTTTGATATACATTACATCCTTTATAGCTTTCATAACTTAGCCCTAGTTGTTTGTCCGATGGAAAGATTTATTGTTTCGAAAGGTATTTTGGAGAGGACAGTAGAGTCTAGTGTGTACTTAGCGGGGATAATGACTATTTCTAGCATTTCTGAAGGCTTATAACTAGTCAAAAACTAGTCCAGTAAGAGTGAATATTATAAATCGAAAGTTTTCCCAATCAGAGTGTTCATATTCGCTGTATTGAAGAAGTGTATTTATTGTATTGGATTTGTAACCTTTTGCAAAAACCGGTAGAGTGCAGAAGACCACATTATGACCGCTAGTGTAAAACGTTTTGCCAACCACCATTGATGCTTGTGTGACATTATGACAGAATATCAACTTGAGGACGTTATGGTTTCGTGTAGGTAGGTGTATATGTTACTTTCAACTGTGTATGTCTTAAGGACCATGTATGCTTTCTAAGCCCAGTGGGCCTGAGTGTCTTCCAGTTGATCCTCGGAAGGTTGCGATCATTGCAATCAATTTTGCAGGCGAAATCAAGGAAGGTAGCTCTGTCAATAACTCAATGTTGTGCAAGTTAATCACAGCGAGAGAGTTCGTTAGAGTATATTTAAATGTATGAGTCTGTGGCGTAGGAGCATAACTAGCTTTACACTATCCGTAAAAGTGAATGATTGTTTAAAAGTAACAGGGTGCGATGGCGAGTCATTTTATCACGTACAAATAGGGCACTGATTAAAATTAGTGTCGAGTAAAATGAGCGCTGTTATATGATTATAGATAGAATGCTGCCACATTCCGTTGACTTCAGCGCAAGGATTTTAGTATTTTCATTAATAGCCCGGAAGTTAGTTGGATACTGCGTAGACCATCAACTGTCACTGGAGTTGAGAGTCGTTTTGCTCTTGAGGGCTGCTGGTTCAACCATTATCAAACATCATAGATTATTTCGCTAAGAGGTACTTATAGCTTACCTACTTTCGTCCAGAATAGCGGCCAAATACCTGTATATAGGAAGGTTTCTTAAAATTCCTTCTCCTTAATCCCACAATGTCTAACGGTATATTGTGTTTTGTTTTTAGTCTGTTGTTATATCTTGTATTATTTATTATTAATGTCAACTATTTGCAAACGCTAATTGAGTGAGAACTATTAATCTCTTGTTTTCTTCAAACCGCGCGTTCGTAGCGTTACGCTTCTAGCCCGAAGGTACTTTATTTATGTGAAGTAGCGTGCTGTAAACTATGAAGGAAATAAGGAAAAATAAATAACAAAAGAAAGGGCGAGTTGGCCACCTTATATGCACACGCAACGCACTTATGTTTACTACGGAAAGCAGTAGACAACAGTCAGCAGTGACACAAGCGTCGGATTAACACAATCTTGAAATGGAAACTAAAAGAAGACATATTGACCCGCTATAAATTATTTTTAAATTCTCACTTCACAACTCTGAATGCAGTCAACAAAACAACAGTTGTGAGGTGTAATAGTTCCTGGTCTCGGATACAACCCAACTAATGGAAAACTACTTACCTACTTCTGTAATAAAACAATCTCCAAGTAATTATAATAGTTGCTTTACCATCCACAGGAAGTACTATAAAAACCTGAGGTCTGTTCTTTACATCTAACGTTGATAGCAAGAAACCAAATTTTTTATTATGGCTGGTTGAGATTTTTGTTTGTTTTCAGTGTTAATGTGTTGAGCTACACTAGAATTAAAAACAATTTCCCACCATATTTATAGCGGGCTACTCAAAGTTCATTAAGAAGTCATGAATTTCAAGTTCAAAGAGACGCATACCTTTGGTTTGTTGGTTTTAATTCTTCTATTTCTTTACAGAGCAAAGACAACAGGACTCTTCAAAGATAAAGGCCAAGTACCCTAATAGAGTTCCGGTAAGTCCTGCACAATGTAATAATTGGGTAATATTAACTCTGAATGATTAAGTTTTATTTTTCAAAAGTAATGATTCTTCCAGACTTTTATCAGTCCTTAACATCACATTTGTTTACTTGGCTTTTTGTTACTTTATAGTTCTAAGCTCCCGTTTTTTAAATACTGAAGTACGGAAAAGTTAGTCATGCTATCACTCGGCGTTTTTGAAATTTTCTGTTTCACTTTTAGACTAAAGTTGTATATGGGTATAGAACAACTCTTACGTCCAGTTTTCCACTATTCATTGTCTCTAAACGTTGATGTCAGAAGTCAAACATCGGGGACTTAACTTTTACGAAGCCTATTGGTCAACGTCAGTGATCTTTAGAAATAGCGGTATACCATATGTGTTTAACTGATCCTCACTGACCTATAGCTAGTACTTCGTGTCTCCGGGTTACGCCACACACCCTTCAGTCCTGACATCCCATTTCACGGATTCGTCCCATGTAACATTCTTAGCAAACTGAGAGAACCTAATACATATAGCATGCCAATACAACTAATCACCTCTATCTTTTGATTAAGGTATCATTCAGCTGAACTATTAGACCCCAACCATTACATCGAAAGATGAATGAAAATTTCTTTTTGAGTTACTGGTTTACAATGGATAATATTTGTCGAAAGCTTAGTTAAAACAGGTTTTTCTGAATTTCTGTTGAATTATGTTCTTGAGTAGATTTTCGGTAATAGTGAGTTTTTTGCCTGAAAGATTTATCTGCAAAGCTTTCACTATCGCGAGATTAAATCATCGGGTTAAACCCCAGAGTATCAGAACTAGGGATTGCATCAGTAGTACTGGACAAGATTGGACGTAGATATTATTCAAAACAATATGAGTTCTTTAAGAAAAACTAGGCAATTTAGCCTTGCATTCGATGTGTTATTATTTAAGTGCACAAAACATTCTGCCCAATATAATACTTTGGGGTTGATACAATTTGTTTTGTAGACAGTGCTCCATGTTTCTTCTGTTGCGTCTTCCAGTCTGCATAAAATCTAATGAAATTATGGTTATTAGCTTGTAGGAAACACTGGATTCGAATGGCGCTAATATACGTATGATAATTTCTAAAACGTTTATATACATTTATAAAGGTAGTGAATCTTGGCTCTATTTATTTATTTATTTTTATTTCAACACATATTGGTACAAAGAGGCACCAAATACATATGCGCCACACAAATCTCATTCGATATGTGTGAGGGCTGTGATACTGCCCGGGTGCCCAGACCGAAGCAGGTGGTTTTCTTTGGGGGCCACACCCCGAGCCTTCGACCTGAGGGTCTGATCCACAAGGCAGTGGAGCATCGTAAGGAGATGCAGTCCCATGGAAGCCGGTGACCAACAATTGGTTCATACGCCATTTGTTCCCGCAGGATACTGGAGCCCATGTGCACCATTGGTTTGGAATCCGGTTAAAGCGCCGGACATTCGCTTTTCGTCCTCTCATTTTCGTAAACAACACCCCCGCCACGAGAAGGCAGTGAGTAGGACTTCCCTGACAGAGGCTATATACGCGTGGCCATGTGAGAGCATTTCGAGAGGGAGAGCGGACTCTCCCCACTCTCGGCCGTAGTATCTCTACATCTGTGCACTGTTGAGTTGTTTCCGTACTCTAAAATTTGATCTCGGTGGTTTGGTCTATATATATATATATGTATGTATATACATATATATGTTTCAATAGGTTCACTTATTCTGTCCATATGTTTGACTAATAAATTGCAAATACGTGATACACAAGTCTATTAGCTTTATCACACCCAACCACTGCATTTCTGTATATTTATAGTGTTGTTTATTTATTTAAATGTAAACATCGATTCAAGGAGTGACCAAATAGCTATGCGCCACACTTCACCATTCGACTTGTGTGGGAGCTGAAATACTACCCGGGTGCCCAAACCTAAGTAGTTGGTTTTCTTAGGGAGCCACGCCCGGAGCTTTCGACCTAAAGGTTCGATCCACAAGGCAGTGGAGCAACATCAGGAGATGCAGTCCCATGGTGGCCGCTGGCCAATAATAAGTTCATACTCCATTTGTTCCTTCACGATTCTGTAGCTTATGTACACCATTGGTTTGGAATCAGGGTTTTCTAACACCCCTAGATGGACACTCCGTGTCCACCAACCCGGTTAAAGTGCTGGATATTCGCTTTTCGTCCTCTCAGTTTCGTAAACAACTGTAATGCTGCGAGAAGGTAGTGAGTAGGATTTCCCTGGCAGTGGTTGTGTACGCGTAGCCGTGTGAGGGAATTTCGTGTGTGCTGGCTCTTCACGCCCTCAACCGTGCCAGGGCATTTAGGGGTCATAGGGTCTCTATCTAATTTCACTATACCTTGTTATATAACGCACATAGTGTAATCATGTTGAGGTCTGAAGTGACCTAGTAAGACGTGACAGTTAACCATGATTCATAGTTCATACGCTTGACATCCCGGACTGCATATCTTCCCGTTAGTTTTCAAATGTTTGAAACCTGAAGTGAGGTAGTTGTATAAGTGATCAATTCTTTAGTACTTTACATCTTTCGAGGTTTACGCAGCTAAGTCACTATTCATACTTATCACATATTTTTTCAACCATCTTTTTATCATGTCATTTTAAAGTTCAGCTTAGGATTCTATCTGCGATTGACTTCATTAGGATGTATATGTTTATCACTAACGTAAAATGATGCCTTTTATCGGATTCTTTTAGAATGAGTTACGGAGTACACATCAAGGCTGTATTGAGTTTTAACTTACTTACTCCTGTTACTCCTCGTGAAGGAGCATATGCCACTCACCAGCATTCTCCATCCAACCCTGTCCTGCTTTGATTTCCCGACGTAATGTGTTCTTTGGCCTTCCTCTTTTCCGCTTCACTACAGGATTCCAAGTTAGGGCTTGCGTCGTGATGCAGTTTGATGATTTGCGTAATGTGTCTTATCCACCACAATTGATTGATCACTGGGTGGTGATCAATGTCATGCTTGTCTAGTGCTTATTAGTGCAGATTGAATGCTATCGATCATGTTGCAATGTGGCCACCAATCTAGGTGACTCGACACTGCGGACACTATGTATTGAGATTTAGATGGTGGTTGGAGGTATTCAACAAGAAACCCTGGTGGCCACATTGTAACATGATCGATAGCATTCGATCTGCACTGATAAGAAATAGACAAGCATGACATTGATCACCACCCAGTGATCAATCAATTGTGATTACATCTCAGTCCTACAGGAGGTTAGTCACGGCTCGGATAGCTCAGTGGTAACGTCTCTGACTGTGAAGCTGGGTGACATGAGATCGAATCCGCCAGGGAGCACCAGTTCCCTCAAGATTACAGGTACACTTGCTGACGAGTGTCAAGTAGCACGAAACCCGGGTCCAGGGTTTCCTGTGTCTTATCCATTTCCATCGTCTTTTCCTAATTTCCACTTCAGCTGGAAGATGATTTGTTCTCTCCCACAAAAGGCTGTTGCTGATGGTATCCGGCCAATAGATGTTGAATATCTTGCAAAGACAGCTATTTATAAATATTTGTACCTTCTTGATGGTAGTTGTTGTAGTTCTCCAAGTTTCAGCTCCGTACAGTAGAACTTCCTTGACATTCGTATTGATTGTTCTGACTTTGATATTGGTTGAAAGTTGTTTTGAGTTCCATATGTTCTTCGATTGTAGGAAAGCAGCCCTTGCTTTGCCAATCCACGATTTTACGTCTGCATCTGAACCTCCTTGTTCATCGATGATGCTCCCCAGGTATGTGAAGGACTCTACATCTTCCAGAGTTTCGCCATCAAGAGTGATTGGATTGGCGTCCTCTGTGTTGTATTCCAGGACCTTGGTTCTCCCCTTATGTATGTTGAGGCCTACTGATGCAGAGACTGCTGCTACACTGTCTGTCTTTATTTGCATTTGTTCGTGTGTATGCAATAGGAGGGCTAGATCATCTGCAAAGTTCAAATCGTCTAACTGATTCTGAGCTGTCCATTGTATGCCGTGTTTTCCCTCAGATGTCGAGGTCTTTATAATCCAGTCAACCACCAGAAGAAAGAGGAAGTGAGAGAGTAGACAGCCTTGTTTGACTCCAGTACTTACTTGGAATGCGTCTGTCAGCTATCCTCCATGCACGAACTTGCACTGTAGTCCATCGTATGAGTTCCGGATAATATTAGCAATCTTTTCAGGAACTCTGTAGTGTCGAAGTTTCCATAACGTCCTTCTATCTACACAGTTAGATGCCTTTTCATAATCAATGAAGTTGATGTACAGTGACGAGTCCCACTCAACTGATTGTTCGACGATGATCCGTAGTGTTGCAATTTGGTCTGTGCACGACCGATCCTTACGAATTTTAACTTTTTGTACAAAATTATTTCGCAAGTTAAAGCAAATACTTGTCATTTTTGAACTCGTTTTCAATCTTTTTTACAGGTCGTCGTGGAACGTCATCGTCATTCACAAATACCCGATATTGACAAACATAAGTTTCTTGTTCCGGACGATGTTACAGTTGCTCAGTTTATGTGGATCATTCGAAAACGTATTGATATCTCATCAGAAAAAGCCCTCTTTCTTTTTGTTGAGAAGAATATGCCGCAAACAAGGTATATTAATCGATTTACGAGTCGATTCACTTTTTAAAGGTCTTCATTACATAAGATATTTCAATCAGATGTTTTCGACTTGATATACACAGTAATTGTTGGTCTGATGGACATTTAGAATTCCTATGAATAATCCGTAATTTATCTTGCATCTTGCAACACCACTAGTTAAATAAGGGAAATGCGAGTAGGTGCAACAGAACAATCAAAAGTCATATAAAAAATGTTCAACAGAGGATAAAAAAGAGCTCAAACACAATCGCATGTAGGGCTTAAGATACAATTGATAAATTCAGAATATTTGAATCTCTACTAGAATATGTAAGTCGAACATATTCTTGATATCACTTTCAGGCAAGTTACATGGAACTAAAAATGGTAACAAATTGAAGTAAAAATTTATTCTAGAATAGCTGGGATAGTTTCTTCTCTCATTAAGTGCTCGTGACCCAAATTGTAATACTTAGGGAATTTAAAACTAAAGAAATCTCTTCGCATACTATTAAAAAATAAATTATTTCACATATTACAGTTTACAGATGTTATTTCTGTTAATACAGTAGGTTTCAAGGCTCGTCGTTACTTTTTTTAAAACAAGCTATAACCGATATAGTTAAGATGTTAAGATTCGTTTCCTTATTACATGTAATCTGAACACCCAAATGTTTATGTGGCTTCATCTCATTGTCTATAATTCTAATGAGTTAGTTACCTACATATTTTAACCTCAAGCTTTTAATTATGAGCCTCAGCTTAGTAAATATCTACGTTTTATTTTATTGAATAAAATTGGAACACTTTGACGAGAGGCAGAATAAATTTTTCTTCTGTTATATTTCGTGATGCTTTGTTCTCTATCTTATTAACGTGGATCGAAATGTGAAATACTTATTTACTATATTGTATAAAAGAATTTCTAGGATGCGTTTCTAATTTTTCAGACTGTTCTCTGAATTATACAGTGATTTCCATTTATTTTAATCATTTTAGTGCCACAATAGGTCAACTGTATCATAACTTTCACGATGACGATGGTTTTCTATACATAAGCTACAGTGGGGAGAACTCTTTCGGCTCCGGTTTATAGCTTTATATTTTCGAAACAAGATATTTTTCTGTACTTGTGAAAATGAATGTTTAGTTTAATATGAATATACCTAAATTATTTTCAGCTTAAGTTTGCTAACTTTAAATAGTTTCTTTTTTCATCTATCCTCCAAAGCAACAGTGTTGTTTACTAATTATGTGTTTTTTAATGAGCTTGGAAGTTTTTCCTGTTTATCTTCCGATTTGTTGACCGTTCTGCCTCTTTTGTCAGATTTATTCTTATATATTATCGGTTTTTGGTTCAGCGGTTGTGCACAAATGTGTTGTTTAAAAAATCTAAGCACAATGGGCTTTGATACGAATCAATAACTAATGTTATTCCTGTTTTTATATGTAATGCTCATTATTAGTATGGAACTTCGCATTGCTTACTGTTTTTTGTTGTGGTCCAGCAAGTGATATTCTAATTATGTTATATTTTTTAGATTTTCTTGTTTCTCTGTGTTCAACTGCTATTTTTATTCTGTGTATATTGTTTATGCATTTTAGCAATATTTGATTGTATTGTTTAATTTTCTCACTACTAAGTTACATAAACAGGTGATTATTTATTTTAATTTTTATCTGTAAATACACCTGGATTATACTAACTACTACTTGTTTCTCACAATTAATTATGTTATATGGTTCTCATGAAATTAGCGGCCGTTTGATGAAGGGGACTTTCATCTAGTAGGTATTCAAGGGCACATTGAAAATTTAGCAAGTAAGCTGTTTGGTCAAGTGAGTTGACTGTTTATATTACGCTGACCCAAACTTCGTAAAGATCGCTTGCATTGAAGAAAGTTGTGGACAAACCACTTTCAGTTAAGCCTAATACTCTACCTGTAGCACACAAAATACTGGAATTTCCACCTAAGGGAAATTCTTTACTTCTGTATTGCCGAAGAATTTGGATAGTGTATAACATGATGCTGTTTAGTGTATGATTTTTTTCATTGACTGTCTTAAGTGGAAAAATAAATAACTAGTTTCACCATGCGTGTTGATGTTCTTTGGTATAGGCGGATTGAGTGATATCTATTTATATTTGAAAAGTGTGCATTATAAACATAAGGTCATATTGTTTAAAAAATTTTAATGATGAATTAAACTACCATTTCGATCAATTTGAATAGCTTATTGATAAGCTTCATCTTAGCAGTCTGAGTGGTTAATAAAATAAACTCAACAAATAAAAAACATTTAAAACATCGATGTTCATTGAGTTTTATTATTGGTTTATACAAATTAGCTCGTTTTACTAAATTATCCTACCCATTAAATCGACGGCACCGCAATACGTGTCCAGTAACAAACCCAACTTATTCTTAGTGTACTTAAATATACCAGTGTATTATGTTGTGAATCTTTACAATAATCGATAACTTCCACTTATTTTCATTTATAATTGTGATTATGAATCTAGTAGTACAATGTCGTGTTACTGTCCATGAGTATTCATGTAACATTTATTAACTCGTAAGTCATACACTTTCATCGCTATTCAATGTGTATATATGCTTCCCCTGATGGCAAGCTAGCATCAATTTCTTATGTGGCATGGTTGCCGATAAACTTATTTTTCCACTACACAATGAAGTCCCGGTGTTGAGTAATTTATTTTTAAATAAAAGGCCTTTGTGTTGATATCTAACGTCAGCTCGGCGTACATTTGTTGGTTATTGGATAAAACCTCAATCCTATATTAACAGGCAATCAAAACGATCAATTCCTAATTGAGTATTATTTGATTCTTCAGTATAACTTGATATATATTACTCCTGGAAACTTCCATACCACTTCACTGCGATTAAATTTAAAAATCAACTTCCTTTTGATTAAGTCTTAAATAGAAATTTATACACGATGGAAGGTCGGTTGTGGTTATATTGGCTTGGTGATAAAGTAGTGAACTACACTAATTATTGATATTGGGGTTAATATTAACGTCTAATTGAATTCTTTAAAGACTGTAAGTATTTCCAAGAGGAAACGTAGACCCAATGCTTCTTCATTATGATTGTAAATCAGTATACAGACTTCATATAAATAACGTGTAATCTTTCTGTTTTAAAGATGTAATGAAAGAATTAAGGATCTGATTTCTGAATTCATCTATATTTATTCTACATACTTACGCCTGTTACTCCCAATGGAGCATAGGCCGCCGACCAGCATTCTCCAACCCACTCTGTCCTGGGCCTCCTTTTCTAGTTCCATCCAATTCTTGTTCATCTTTCTCATGTCTATTTCCATTTCCCGGCGTAATGTGTTCTTTGGTCTTCCTCTTTTGCTTTGGCCTTGAGGTTTCCATGTGAGGGCTTGTCTTGTGACGCAGTTGTGTGCTTTCCTTAATGTGTGTCCTATCCACTTCCAGCGCTTCTTCCTGATTTCTTCCTTCGCTGGGATCTGATTTTTCTCTCCCACAGTACGTTGTTGCTAATAGTGTCCGGTCAACGAATCCGAAGTATTTTGCGTAGACAACTGTTAATAAACACCTGTATTTTCTGGATGATGGCTTCCGTAGTTCTCCAGGTTTCCGCCCCATACAGTAGAACTGTCTTGACATTTGTATTGAAAATCCTGACCTTGGTGTTGGTTGACAGTTGCTTTGAGTTCCAGATGTTCCTCAGTTGTAAATATGCTGCTCTTGCTTTGCCGATCCGCGCCTTCACATCTGCATCAGATCCACCATGTTCATCAATAATACTGCCAAGATATGTAAAGATTTTTACAACTTCCAAATCTTCTCCGTCAATTGTGATTGGATTGGTGCATGCTGTGTTGTAACGGAGAACCTTTATCTTCCCTTTGTGTATATTGAGACCTATTGCTGCTGAGGCTGCTGCTACACTGGTCGTCTTCTTCTGCATTTGTTGTTGCGTTTGAGATAGAAGGGCCAGATCGTCCAGCTGCATCCTAGATGTCCATTTTATCCCGTGCTTCCAATCAGATGTTGACGTCTTCATGATCCAGTCGATCACCAGGAGTTGACTACAGTAAAATGAGATAGTGTTAAAACTAGAACTTTCAAATGTAAATAGGCTCTATAGAAGCAATATCCCGTCACTTTTTATCCAGTAGCACGTTCATTCAATAGTCTTCTTTCGTTCGAATTCGATCTGTGGGAAAATCGAACATTAAAATTGTATTTGTGATTCAATCTACTTTGAATTCATAAACAAATTGAGGGAAAATTTGTGTGGATTGGCTTAAATTTATTGGTTGCGTAGTTCACAAGTTGATCTCTGCTAAATTTTCATTGGAAGCCATGAACCATTGAACAGTTGCTTCGTTCTAGTACGCGACCATTTGACAATGAACATTTACATCTCCACCACAAGTCGAATTTGGGAAATTCAACTCTCTTAATGAATGCTTAACCAGTAGAGCCACTAAATCAGAATTCAATACCGAAATCTCAACTTCAACCAATTCGCGATAGAATACGATGGTCATCCAGTGACACTGATGACAACTTCTTGACTATCGACATATCTGAACTCCATCAATCATTACTTCTCACTAGAACTTCCTGAAGTAATTCACTGGTTATCTGAGTATTACACTTTAATAGAAGTGGTATTGTGAAGAGTGATATGAATTTTTAGGTTGGATTCGTCACAAATCGTATGTTAGCAAAAGACACTGCATTTGTCTTTTTAACAATTGAGCATTGTGAATACGGTTAAGTCATGACTGAAATTAAATCACCTGTTGTATAGTCAATTTGAACGTTTGCTTTGACCTGATCACTTCAATCCTAATATCCGATAATTGCAATCATTAATATGTTTGCCTTGTTAAAATTTTCTCTTGACATACTACTGAACTTCCCTTGCTTTTATTGAGATTGAAGGTTATTAAGCACCTCGAATTAGTGCTTTTATTATAATAGAGTTAAAGAATGTACATAGAATAAAATCTCTTATATACAATTATTAATTCGGAATAATGCTGTAAAAATATTTAAACAGCCAACATGAACTCTACTTTGATAGTATTAACTGGATCATCATTTAGGAAGACCATTTAAATGCTTGTATATTTGTCTTTACCATTTGTGGATGTACGCATTTATGTTTTGCTTATAATTCCCATTAGTATCTAATTCAATTGGATTATTACTTCTGATATTATTCATATCAACACTCTGATCCAGATAATGTTTGTAATTTACTTATAACTCTGTTCATAAGTTTGAAAGAAATAAGATCATTTGTAGTGAAGTGGAACTGTATTTATGATTACATTACATCATTAAAATTAACTGATTAAATTCATATACAACTTTTGAAAAACAGAGATGATAGATTCCTGGTTTATTCCTTTATTTAAATTCTGCAATCACTTATTCTATTGATGTGAACTCGAAAGTATAAGATTCCCTTAATTGTATGTGTCCTTGATTGCGGTAACGATTATATGAAAGAAAGGAATTTGCTTTCTTGTATCATGATTATTATTACTTATTTGGATAATTTTATTAGCCCTAAATATTTATATTTTTTATTCATTGATATTCAGACAAGTTATTAGTGATTTCTAACGCTCAGTCTCATTGTTTACATAGATAACACAATTTAATGTCTTGTTCTTTTGTAATTCATACCGATTAAACAATTGTGCCTAGAAAAATGTCTTCATTTGTTATAATTATTCAATAATTACTAGTATTGGAGTTGTGGAGATTATTTAGTTTTTGATTGAGATCATGAACCAATTGATGTTAGACCATCACAATTGAAAACCTGGAAGCACTGGACGGCTGTTTCGTCCTATTGTGGGACTCCTCAGCAGTGCGCATCCGCGATCCCGCGAGCGGGATTCGAACCCAGGGCCTTCGGTTTCGCGCGCGAACGCTTAACCAACTGGACCACTGAGCCGGAATCCAATGGTGATAGTTTCTAACATCAACCAATCCACGAAATTGCGCGACCAACAATAATTCCCCAGTTTATCACTGACCTATAAAATCTTATCTGATCAATTTTTTCTGTTTACATCATCTGATTTCAGTTAATTACGAAGTTTATCTTCACTTATTTATGAAAAATAATGTAGGTCAAAGCAGTTACTCTAATACAACTATTGGTTATCGGTTTAAGAATCAGTGTAAACAAATGTAGTTCTTAATTTATTCTTATATTGAAACTAAGCTCAATATCGAAAAAATATCACATATCATTTGTGGATTTGTTTGTATTTATGACTACTACTAATTACGTGTTATCTCTTTCATGTGGTTTCTCTTTTTTAATTGTTATGTCTATTACATTCAACCAACCATGGATGTATATTTGTATGTATACGGTGATTGATTTTTTTTTCCTTTTCAAG